TGGTTGCCAGGATTTGCCGTAGCCGTTTCGTTTTCTAGGAGTGAACCTTAAGATACCCTGAAAATTTGAAGTCTCTAGCACATCTCCTTCTAATGGAACAGACACACAGACACACAGACACGAGGTCGTTTGCATAAGCCCGCTGGATAGCTTTTTCAAAGCAGAAGGGCGGGCTAAAAATACCTACTTTGACCCCCATTTCCATACCTTTTGTGGTAATGCTGGTTAAGCGGACCACATGGATGACATTTCTGTGGCAAATGGGAAGACTGTCGTAAGTCCACTTATGTCACAAAGTGACTTTTTAACGTATTCGTATTCAGCCGGTCTAGCTCTACAATTTACTTTTTATCAAAAAACATGTCAGAGGCATAGTTTGGGAGGTAGATAGTGGTGAAATATGTCGTAACTCCAAATTAGATGTTCATTTTAAAGCCAAAAGGTCGCAAGTCCACTTACGCCACTTGGCTTGAGAAACTTTGCAGTATCAGATGTCGTAAGTCAAGTTACGCCACTTTACCATACTATTCAGTTCCTTGTGATATTCTGAGTTAAAGAAGTCAATAAAAGGGCATCCAGTGTCATAGGGGCTCTTTAAATTTTATTATAGAAGAGTAGTAGGATCCTTCAGAATTCCCCAGATTTGCAGGTGTAAAACCACACCTGGACACAGAACCATTTGTCCCATATCAAATCCAATTACATTTTTGGAAACTAGATGAGAATGGTCATTTTAAGACTAAATTGAACAATGGGGAAGGAGAGGTGAAGATTTAGAGCCATCAGCAAAATATGATTTCACAGACTAGGAATCACAAGTTGGTCATCAGAGATGTGCCCGATGTACAAAGTACGGTTATTTCATGCAGGCCCACTGTATCCAGGTGGTTGAGAACAATATGATGATGAGATAGAGCCACCAATCTGATTTATAGGAAAATAATTTCATTTTTAGACGAGTCATTTTGGATTGTCTCTTCTGAGGCCTCGAGAGTTGCAATCATGACTTATACTTTGGTCTTTGAACAGAGAAAGGTCAAACAAAGTGCAGATATTAATGCAGATCAAGAAACTAGATAAGAATGCCCTTCTTTTGACACCAAAATGCAGTGTGAGAGATTTAAATGAAGGATTTGATATTTCCACCAGAATACATTTGAAATTTTTTTTTTTTAGTGAACATTTTCTGAAATAACTTCAGTTAATGAAAACTAATGACACCATTCGGTTCCTTGTGATATTCTGAGTTAAAGAAGTCAATAAAAAGGCATCCAGACTCATTATTGCTCTTTAAATTTGATTACAGAAGAGTAGTAGAATCTCTGAGAACTTCCTAGATTTGAAGGTGTAAAATCACACCTGGACAAATGAATATTGGTGCTACATCAAATCAATGGAATGCAGAGTGCGAAATCAGGCAGATTTCATGAACTTAGACAATGAATAACACAGACATGATCAAGTTTACACAACACAACAGCTGGAAAGCTGAAATTTGAATTTAAAATGATTCATGTCAGAATGGACCTTTTCGACGCGTCCTAACAACAATGTTCTATCTGCAGCGTGCGGATTACACAATGTTCTATCTGCAGAGTGCGGATTACACAATGTTCTATCTGCAGAGTGCGGATTACACAATGTTCTATCTGCAGCGTACGGATTACACAATGTTCTATCTGCAAAACGCGGGTTTCGGGACACCTCGAAAGGAATGCTCATTACTCCGTAACCGCTCGTTCTACTTCAGTGTTTGCCGTCAATAATTAAACATTGCACCTTTACGATTCTTCCCGTGTGCTCAGATTGGCCTTAATGTCTTACAGTTACTTGCAAACCACACAAAGGTGAAAGGCTGCGCCTAATCTCGTTTTGCAGATAGAACATTGTGTAATCCGCACTCTGCAGATAGAACATTGTGTAATCCGCACTCTGCAGATAGAACATTGTGTAATCCGCACTCTGCAGATAGAACATTGTGTAATCCGCACGCTGCAGATAGAACATTGTGTAATCCGCACTCTGCAGATAGAACATTGTGTAATCCGCACGCTGCAGATAGAACATTGTTGTTAGGACGCGTCGTTTTATGGGTAAGGAGAGATGACATTAAATCTTTTACAGACTACTAAATAGAAACACTACAACTTACATCACACATGATGATATATAGGCAAACTAGATTAAAATGTCCTTCTTCCAACAATAAAATGGTGCAGACCACTTCAAAAAAAAAAAAAAAAAAGATTCCATCTTGCAAAAAAAAAATAACTTTGAAGTAAATTTGTGAGGACTTGATTTTCTTAAGCTGTGCAAATGGGTGAGGATTTGTCACACCACTGTAATCCATATAATCTTATGAATGAAAGAAGCCTACAGATGGCCGTCTATATCACTCCAGAATATTCTACTAAACCGGGGAAAAGTATTAGTTGAAGCTAATACTGGCATTCTTGCTGTATGGAAGCAAATTTGTACCGTGATTGTCTAAATTCTTCTCTTGATATAAGTTTTGGAGTCTGAAAATAAGAAATCTTTGACGTAGTGATGTCTGCTTTGGGTCCTCATAAGGTAACACTATTTGAGACCACTTTACAGAACATCAAGGTTGCGTCTCATATTTCAACATGAAACTTTGATTTAACAAAATGCTAATTGATGTGAAAATCTAAAATGTTTAAAATTAAACTTTTGAAAGTATATATCAGTCCAGAAAATTCTACTGAACTGGGGAAAAATATTAGTTCCAGTAAATACTGGCATACTTACTGTATGGGAGCAAATTTCTACCGTGATTG